GTCAGGTTCTCTGTGATGCTGATTCCCAGGAACCTGAAACTATTCAGCTGCTCCAACTCAGCACCACTGGTGTAGGCAGGAGTGTGTGTCTTTATCTCCTTCTCTCTAAAGTCAATGATCAGCTCCTTAGTTTTGCTGACGTTGAGCAGTAGTTTGTTCTCTGAGCACCACTCTACAAGATTGTCAATTTCCTCCCAGTGTCTCATCGTTGTTTGAAATCTGGCTGATGATGGTGGTGTCATCCGCAAACTTCACAACAGAGTTCTCTCCATGTCGGGGGATGCAGTCGTGGGTGTACAGCGTAAACAGGAGGGGGTGGAGCACACCGCCCAGGGGTGCTCCGGTTTTGATCCAAAACTGACTGGAGTCTGTTGGGGTCTGTTTGTGAGGAAGTCCAATATCCAGTTGCAGAGTGTTGTATTTAAACCCAGAGTGGTGAGTTTGCTGATCAGTTTCATGGGGAGATTGTGTTGAATGCTGAGCTGAAATCCACAAACAGCATTCTGATGTAGGTGCTGTTTTTCTCAAGGTGTGTGAGGGCTGAGTGGAGGGCAGTGGAGATGACATCCTCTGTGGATCTGTTGGTTCTGAAAGCAAACTGGTGAGGGTCCAGGCTGGCTGGGATGTTGTTCTTCATGTGCTGAAGAACCAGTTTCTCAAAGCTTAGGATGGGGGTGAGTGCGACAAGGTGATTCAGACTAGACACTGCAGACTGACTCAGACTTTGTAGTAAGGCAGCTTATATCAGTCTCTTTTGGTATTCTAACAGTTGAGCTGCTGTCTCCATAAATCAGCACACTATTTGATGTAATTAGTAAAATCACACATGTAAAAATTAGGGCTGGTCACTTTGACATGTTATTATCACGTTAACGCATTAATTAACGCCGGCAATTATTTTTTCACACGTTAACACCGTTTTTATTATCATTATTTTGAAAGTCTGTTGCTCACTGGCTCTGAATACACATCCAGTCAAACCACAGGTTGTTGATCAGCCTGCAAATCATCCACCCAAACAAGCAGCAGAGGGAGGCTTCAGCAGACTACGCTGGATGCAGCGTGTGGGAGAAGTAGATAAACAAAAGCAAGACAAGCGATCAAATGTCACAGCAAAGTGGACGTAGTCGCTTGCTCTTTGCTCTGTTGATAAGACAGCGCTCTGCGAGTAAAAGGCAGGCGCTCTATGGATAGTAACCATGGCAACGGCGCTACACAGCTGTAGCCTGTTTAAAATAACTTACGCGGATGCTCTGCCAAGTGAATTCCCTCCTGTTGATGTCCTATTTAGTAAACAGTAATAGATTCTTGAAACTCACAATCAGCGAGTCTCTCCCAATGATTTGTGCTGCGCATCGCGTACAAAACATTCGTGGCTCTGGACTCTGATGGTAACTTGTTTTAAAAAAGGTAATGCCCTGGCAGTGTCGAATAGCTTTGGTTTTATATTTTTTGATTGATTGATTTTTTGACAACTGTGTTGTACTTCACCAGGTGAATGTACTGTAATGGGCATACCCAGTGTGACCACCAACCTATCAGGTTTCGGCTGCTTCATGGAGGAACATGTCTCAGACCCTGCTGCCTATGGTGTGGACACACACACGCATACACAAAGACATCATGTCTTTTATTATTGCTGCCTCATCCCAAAGCTTTAACAGTCATTTCATTTTGAGGAATTACATTATCCCCTCTTGTCTCTCACTGTTCCTATCAGGTATTTACATTGTGGATCGGCGGTTCCATTCAGCTGAGGAGTCCTGTAACCAGCTGACCCAATTCATGTTCAATTTCTGCCAGCAGTCTCGGCGCCAGCGCATCATCCAACGGACACGAACTGAGAGGCTGTCTGACCTGTTGGACTGGAGATACCTGGGAAGGGTCTGTTTCTGCTGCACCAGCACCAAATAACTGTTTGATAGAAGAGAGAATACAAAATGATCTCTATCAGGCAGAAAACAGTATTCATGTCTGCACACACAATTCACGTGATAGGAATCATAATAATAATCACTACAACAGTTTCCATACAGTTTGAAAGTAGTGCTCATTTTAGACTAGAATTGAGATGCACATTAGGTTTGAAACTGAGCTGTAGTCAAGTGGATGTAAATTTTTGGACAGAAACAGGAAGTCTTCTTTAGTGTATTCCCTCCTGCCTCTAAAACATCTCTTCTTTCATGTTGTAGTTTGTAATATAATCCTGACACTTTCTAAAAACCTCAAATCTCAAAACAAAGGCAAAACTTAGCAAGTCAAATGTTGTTTAGTTGTTGATGTACATCTCTGCTGACTTGTGATTTGCAGTTCTACATACACGCCCGCCATCTTGCACTTAGCAGAGCTCTCCCTGACAAGTTCAAGATGGACCCCATGGCCCCTCTGAAGGTGAGGATACTGTGCATGAAAATGAGTTTGTGAATGAATGATTGAACTTGAAAATGAAACAAAACATCTACAACTGACTGTACTGAAGGATATTTAGAGTTACAAATAGCATCTAATTATTGATCTTATTTCATATTAGAATATTGAAAGTTGTTGATTTGGCATTAATTTAAATTTAAAAAAGTAACCATTAATAATAATGATTTAGAATAGAATACAATAACCTTAATTGTCATTGTATCATTAAAAACCATACAACAAATCTAATTTATTATTGCCAAGAACCAGGGCTTTAAATTTGACACATTAACACATTTTTAGTAGCAGTGTTCCTCTAACTGCACATGCTTGTACATGAGAATCCCTCTCATGGACTGACTGACACACACAGTGAATGCTGGTGGATTTTAGTCACATTTGTCAGTCTTTAATTGACAGCTAACATTTGGATGAATGACAAGATATCATTGTGGAGTGGAGCTGGTGCCGATCTCTGTAGTGTTACATAAAATAAGACTCCCCCTCTTATTTCCCTTCCTTCTAAGTAGGAAAGAAGAATGAAAGGAAGGACAGATGGAAAAAAGCACAAAGGCAAGAAAGAGGGGGTAAGGGATAAAATGAAATGCAAGAAAGGAAAAAAAGGGAGAGAAGGGAACAAAGAGGGAAATAGAAGGGATGAATCAAGAGGAAAGGAGGCAAAAGGGGAAAATGAGAAGAAAAGCAAAAGTTAATAAGAGTGGAGTGCAAGTATTAGATCTCTGATTTTGCAGCTTCTTACCAGCACGTGAACGCACCATCTTAGGACTTCAACACAATCCAGAAAGCAGCTGATTGCGATGGAAAATCTATTTGCACCAAGTTTAAAGTAACTGCCAGCTTTTTATATGAATGAAATGAAACTGCAGTATGATTGAAACGTAATTTGAAATAACTAGATTCCTTTGTTTCCACAGACAGAGGGTTTCCGTTATCCTCGGCCCTACTCGGTGCCCCCCTCTCCCTCTGCCTCCCTCCACTCCACCCCCCACCACAGTGATGTAGAGGATAATGATGATGAGCCCTATGATGAAGACGAAGAGGCTGAGAGGGACCGGCTGAACATCCAGGCTCCCCTTGTGATGGGTGCTGTGCCGGAGGGCAAGAAGAAGTAACCAGGAGAGTCAGGAAACTGATGTTTACCATGATGTGTTTATCCACTCATACAGTGCAAGGCGTGCACAGAATAATCACCATCTGACCAAAAATACAGATCAGGCTTCCTCACAACTGCCACATATCCAATGTCATCACCTATTGTACTCCTTTTTCTGCTGATGCCAGGTCAAATTAAAGCTTTAAATCCAGAACATCTGGAACCAGGATTTCTTTAAAATCTGTGGATTTAAGACAAAACCAAAATGTCCTGAAAGTGTTAAATGGCCTTGATAGCGCTGGTTTAGAATATACTAGCCCTGGCCCATCACAAAACCTGGACTCCTGTTCTTTAGCTCAGTTTAATTGTGATGGCTAGGCCCCATGTTGTTTTCAGTATATGTGCTTCCTCTTAGTCAGGTTATACACAACAAGAGATTTCACTTGCTAAGCAGTTATACAATCCAATAATTCTAGGCGTGTCTTGTCTGCCTTAATATCTGCCCTAATAATAATGAAAAAAAATGCACTAACAAGTTCTAATCATGTGTGCCTGTTTTAATTGTTCATTTGCTTCTTGGTTTCTTTCATAACGTTAATATTTACAAATATAATTTTCCTGTAACAACATTGGCCTATATGGCCAGAGTTATTTATACATATAACTAGTTTTCCTTTACATTCATACATGCAAACTACATTACGTAACGTTACATAGGAGCCAAAAAACATGCTGTTAACTTTCCCGCTCAGCTTCCAGACCAGAGTCTGAAGCCCAGGGGAAATGTTTGCTAGTGCTAACGGGCTTCACTTTTCCAGAAGATTGGAAACAACAGACACACTTTTATTAACTGACACACTGTGACCTACACTGTACATTTACTTTCTGCCAGACGCTCACTCACACACTCAGTACACACAGCCCTATTCCTTAAAAGACCTAACTTACGCTCTCTAACAGCACCTGTCACATAGATGTCCTTTGAAGAATGAGAAGAGGAAGCTAACTAAGCATTGAGTGTTATCATGCTCATTAATGATTGTGTAAAATTTTAGTAGTGGCGCTCATTCATTCAGCAGCGACACCTAACCCACAAAAAAACAAAAAACTGCTTCGGATCTTCACGTGAATTACATATTTTGATTCAAAACAGAAACATTCACAGAAAAGCCAGTTGGATGTATGTACATTCTATCCTGTAATTTCTCAAACCAGACAATCTTTCTTAGAGAAAATGCCCAAAAAGTGTGTATGCACCTAAAATGTTGACATAAATAAGACAAATATTTGATGCCGAAAGACAGAAATTCAGCAAGTTTCCCATTGGTCATGTCACAAAATGTTTATTTGTATACTTGATATGGCATAATAAATAATATCTGTTTATCAGACACTTTGTGATAATATCAGTAGAAACATTTCCTCAACATTTTTTTGAAGGAATTAAAAAAAAAAAAACGTGGACAACCCAGACTAATAGTGCTATGAATACATACTCTTTTTATTAAAACATCACATTTCAAACGTAGTCAGAGAATTCATATTTACAAAACAGCTGTTCTTCTCCCTCACAAAGAACCGAACACCTTGTATTCAAAAATCAGAAATATTCTCTCTTCCACACTGGCAGCTCCTGGAAATACACGTCATTTGGGTTTTCATCGGCTAGATGAGAGAAAGAGAAAAGTAACATTAAATTATAGAATTTAAGTCTCGACCGCTATGTCTTGTAGAAAAAAACACCCCATCTTATGATAATGTATGTCTTTTGTTGCCTATGCCATCAATAAAAGCATTGAAAATATTAGAAAGATTCTTAAATCTGAGGTCAGTGCGAGTGTGGTAATCCTGTACTACTTTTGCCTGTTGAAAGTATGTCTTAAAGCTTTCTCAAGCAGGTGCTGAGAGAGGGTGGTAAGAGGTCTTTGTGTTTAAAACCATTAAACTAATTTAAATTAATTGCAGACAGTCATGTTGCAATGAACATGCAGAATAGTATCCAGTAGTTATCCAGTATGACCAAGGGAGTAATTTCAATGACATTTTAAAGCTGGAAAAACATAAATGTGAATGTCCGTTACGTTCATGCCCTCGTCAAATGAGTTTACACAATGCTGATTAATGATGGTTTTCCAAAGCTGAAGTGGGGAGCAACCCAGAGCCATGTAGAGAACTCCATGATCCGCCATGCTGTAAAAAAAATCCATTCCATTGGAAAGATGATTGCATAGTTTGTGTTAATATTCTTTGGTAACATTTATTGTATGCAGTCATACCAACTCTACATGGCTCTAGAGCAACCGGAGTAGCTACAGCAACTATCATAGCCTATGGTGTCAGTGTTTCTGATTTTGAAGTTTCTGATGGTCCAGATAAAATATGAACTCTGCATTCAGAGGAAGGATTACAGCCAAAAAAAGAGAGTGATGACAGTTTTTCCTCACTGGAGAGTCCTGAGAGAAGAGGAGGGCATGTAGCGGAAGATGAACATATTGGGAGTAGACTATGTAGCTTTCACATTTACTCTACCTAAATAACAGATTATTGTCTTGGAACTGTGGAAATGTTTCATCACCTGTGTTTTTGTGAGTATTTCTTAACATAAGCCTGGGCTGAGTACATCATGAACATGCATCGACTGTATGTGTAGTTACTCTCACTGCCAGATGGGGAGACCAAAGCTCCACACAGGTTTACATTTTTAAAATCCTGTCTTTGTCCCCCAACTTTTACAATTCCAGTTTGATTAACTCACTAAAATCTCTGTGAACAATAATAATTCTCTGAGCTCTGAGTTGATATAACTGTGATATGCACATCTGGGACATCCTCAGTGCAGGAGAGAGTGTTGACTTCTTCCCTAATCGTCTGATTGAAAAACACATATAATTAAGAAAAATGCATTAACCATTTTGATCATAATCTATTTTAAAACTTTAGTTTAACCGTGTTTCTGAAGCCAAACCTCAGCCCTTAAATATAACCTGCATATCTGGTCCAGCTGCTGCCCTCACCTCCCTCTCTGGTCTGCTGCAGGAAATTGAGCAGGACAGTGGCAGCCTGATCCACGCTCAGTTTCTCTGTGTTCTGACTGCGGGTCTCTGACAAGGAACAAACACCAAACACGGATTATCTGTCCACTTCATAGGTGATTCCAATTCCAAGACTGTTTTAGGAATTATTACTATTATTATTATTATTACTACTATATTATTATTATTATTCCCTTACCATTTTTCATATTACTATAGAAAGATGCTTAACAATGTGTGTTAAACTACATAACAATTTTGCTTAGTAATGTTTGTTGTACCTAAGTGTAATGTGTCATAGACATCTCCTTCTTTTCGGTCTTCTGAGATGAACCTGCGTCCCTCTGGACCCCCCAGAAAGAAACAGATAAGAAATGAAATATACATTAGTCATTCAATATGAATGAATCTACACACAATTTGTAATATACCCAGTATAAACCATTCCTTTCACAATAAAGAGCTGTTTTTATTCAGTTACAGCAGTCTGTAGCAGTATTTCACATTTAAATTCTGCCTTGTTTATCTTCACATTATGACTGGCATGGAATAAAACAAACTTCCTTTTTAAATAAAATGTTATGATTATATTAGACTATATATTGTGTATTTATTCATATGATTATTTTACATATTATATAATGTTGTATCTAGTCAGTAATTAAATACATACGAGTGCCCTTGAGGTACAACATAGCCTGCGGGGTCCAGTTTCTCCGTTGGAAAGAGCCCTTTAATGAAGAAACAAAGAAAATGATTTTGCTTCATCTAAGAGCTGTACATTTTATGCTTAGGCTTTGTAATCCTGCCCTGTTAGCTAACAATTCATTCACTTCATTTTCAGAGAAGAGAAATAAAGCAGCTTTACCTTCGGTGCACTCCACGACTGTGCAATAAAGGACGCCAGTAGTAAAAGGGTGAGTACATAAGTTAATGTGATGGTCCTCAAACCCTGAGGGATATAGGAAATACGAACAAACTCTTTAATTCCCATTTCTCACAGCTACATCCTTCTCAGAGAAACACTCAATCTGACGTGTTCTGATTAACGCAATACGCACTTGTTTACTTATTTTACAACCTAAAATGAATTCATAACTTTGATACTTTTGTGCTAAATAGCATATTATGGCTATATCTGTAGATACAGACCTGTATGTAAAAACATGTTTTGCATCAGCAATTGATGCATAAAATGACATAAAATCTTCGGCTACCTTTAAGAATTGCAGAATTCTAGAAAGTAATTTACTGTAATGTTTTTATCTTCTAATTTTCATTAATGCATCCAGATGAAAACTGTATTCACTTTTCTACATTGCAAATTTGTCTGTATAGTACCCCTATAAGAGGTGAAACTATGCTGGAAAAAGGAAAACAAACGCTTCATATGCAGATTTTCCAACTGAATGAAACCAAAATGTTTTTGTGAATTGTACTTACTTTCATGGTGTCAGAGATCTTTTGAGCCTGGTGTCCAAAGAGACGACGAGAGGGTAAATGCTTCTAGGTAATTGCTCGCTCTCCATGTATTTATATCCTCTGTGGCGGGGAACCCTCTGTGCTCCACCAGTTGGGCAGCAGCCATAGGTCACGCCATTTTGATGAAATGGGGGCGGTTGGGAAAGTGAATGAATGGAGCCATCGATCAATTCTGCTCCTTTCATTGAGAGCGGTAGTGTACTGTACATTTTTCTGAATTTAAACAGCTGCCATTAGCACTTTCAGCTCCCTGGTGCAGTTTTTCAAAATGACTTATGTTTGAGCTGCAGGTCGTTATTGTGAAATGTGAATTGGCTCTTGGTGGTGTCGTCACTGTCAATATGAGCAGTAATATTCTCCCCTCTGTGGAAATATTGATTTGTTTGCACCTTGCTCACTGGCGCAGAACGCGCAGAGCTGGATTTTATGACTCAAAATGCCACACTTCCAATGAATAGAACGATAGTGATATCATTAACTGCCAGGGATGATACCACATATGGTAAAGAGATAGGTCAGTGAGGTCACGAGTCCAAGTACCCCCCCCCCCACCCCTACACACACATACATACCTAATTCCATTCCATGAAGACAACTTCTGAGGGAGATCTAAGTTGTGGTTTAAAGATACAAAACATACAGAAAATCTAGTTAAGATGTTTTTCTTTCTATTGTTTTTTAATTCAAAAATTATCTTTAATGCTCACCATGTATACAGTTCATTGGTTCACTATACTGTCAGCAAAACATCTTTTCCAGAGCTAATAGGGGAGACCGGGGAGTGGTGTAACACTGGGTTAGCTGTAACATTTTCAGTATATCGGAAAACAACTGCGGTGATGTCATCAATATCGTAGACGCCAATTTAATTTTCAAGCTCACATGAGAAGTGACATGTCTCTGTTAGCAGCACTGTGAATTTTAAAAGCAAAAATCTGATTTTCAGGTAAGAAAGTATTTTTTTTAATCAAGATTATTTTTTTTGCCTAGCATTCATTTTATTGCATTGTTGCAACTTATATCACCTGAAGTAGCCGTTCTTGAATTTAATTTGATGCTTTGCATTCATGCTAGCTTCAAACTCACAGACCTTAAACAGCTAGCTATGTAATGGCTGGTTGTTGTGGGGAAATGGCACTGAGTATAGCGGCCTCTGTGTTAGGTGCTTTGTTTGTTTTGTTTTTGTGTGTTAATTTAGTTTTCAGCTGTGATTCCCCGTGCTCTTTTACCAGAGAAGAGCTTATGAACATCAGGAGAACAACTCCAGCGGATATAGTTCCCACTTTTCTCAGGTCATCAGTGGAATTATTGGACATTTTGGTGAAGGGCTCTCTCGCTGTTGTTCAGGAGAGGAAAACGAGCTGGGTCGCTCGTGCGTCTTCGCGGTAGGGAACTCCGCACACCGCTACGGGCAATATTTCTCTCCAACGTGAGCTTCACAAATGTGAAAATACATGTTTTGGGTAATGAGATATTTGTGTATATTTTTTTTTACAGATCTCCGCAGTACACATTGGACAAAATTCCACAAATGTGTAAAAAGGAAGTTACAAATGTAACATGACCCACAAATTGACAGAAAGCAATCTGCAAATGTGCAAAAACTGTTCTGTGTGTAGAAGTCACTCTGTATTTTTGTGGATATGATTTTACACATCACAAATGTAAAAATATATATTTGTAGATAGTGAAATATTTGCGCATCATAGTACACATTTGTGGATTGTTTTCTGTGGGTTACAAATATTGAAGTCCAATAAAATCTTCCATACACTCCCCCCTTTCAAATCATACAAATGTCTCTGCACTTGTAAATACAATTTAATTTCATATCATGCACAAACCTGGCACATTGCACGTTTGTTAATTGTTAATCTTTGTTGTTGTGTATTTTATATTGTCAATTTATATATTTAACCACAACCCCAGAATAACGCACAAGTAAATATCTGCGATGTTGTTCTTTCTCTGCAAATAGTTGTATTATAACTTGCATTGTCTATTCCATATTTATATATTCCTACATTTATTTATGTCAACTGTATGTTTGTCTGCTTGTAGCACCTTGTCACCAAAGCAAATTCCTTGTATGTATAACACTACTTGGCAATAAAGCTCCTTCTGATTCTGATTCTTCCAAATGGTTGTAACAGTTTATCAAAATGTTATAACCATCCCCTTATGATGATTCTGAATGTTTTTTTGCACTTTTCAGCTTTTTTCTAGCATGCCTAGGCAGTGGAAGTGTAAGACAGACAGGGGTAAAGCAAAGCAAACAAGCAAAGGCCCGAGCCCAATGATTATAGGACCCTCTTGAAAATGAGATCATGTATCTCAAGAGGCTATCCTTGGTATACTTGGTATCGGATCGGATAGGAATTAAGTGGTATCGCACATCACTAATGCAGACTGCCATTCTCAAGAGCGCTTTACTGCTCGGCCACTCTTTACATGCAACACAATGCAATACCAGTTAAACAGCGCCCTCTGTATGTCGGCTGTCTGACATTTCCTCAGTCATACTGTCGATATCAAAGCACATAGCTGAACGCAGTTACGTCTTTAGAAACATTGATATCCCAGCTAGATAAGCTATTTTTTTTTTTTTACCCAAACATGATCTTGAACATGACCGCTTTTATGCTCAATTTGTCATCGATGATACAGACAATCTCCAGACATCGTGGATTTATCCTCAGCACAGAATAAAATCTATAAGCTACACGGGACTTCTTTATAACACAGTGACTCTGTGGACATTAAGGCAGCTGTCAGGTTCAGGTGCTCTGAAATACTTACTGTGCGCTACATTACTGCAGTAAGAAAACTGATCGATGAACAGCAGTGTTTCCCACAGGATTTTAAGAGACTATGGTGGGTGGACCTTGGACAGTCTTGGGGGGGTAATGGGGGGCATGCCCCCCGGAAGAAATTTTGTACATTTGTACAAGTGTTGTACAAGTAATTTTCACAACATTTTATTGCTGTTGTTTTTTTTTATTACTTTTAATGTACACATGTAATATGTTTTATACTTCTGTGAATATAATTCAATTCATCTTATTTCCATACTGTATCGAAATCTTTTTAAAAAACGGACGTATATCCTCGCGCTAATTCATCAAGTCCGACCCAGTATGATAATAATTAGGGCCCGAGCACGACCGTGCGAGGTCCCTATTGAATTTGCTCGGATATATATATTATATATATTTAGGGCCGAGCACGACCGTGCGAGGTCCTATTGAAATTGCTCGGATTTTTTAGGGCCCGAGCACGACCGTGTGAGGTCCCTATTGAATTTGCTCGGATTATTTTTTATTTTTTTTATTTTTTTTTTTTT